ATCGTCCCCCTCAATGCTTGCAACGAATCAAGCTCATGAAAGTACCGCAGCTCCGTAAGAGCTTTCGTGAATGAAATTGTGTGAAGGTCGCAGGACTGGTTTGTGGCGGTACGCTGCGTTTATCCGGCTCCTCACTATGAATGCATACGTCTGTTGATTTTTTCGTACATGCAGAATGAAGCGCATCATTCCTCCCGAGCACTGGATTTCATCGCAGCGCTTAGTGATAATTTGAAAGAAGGGTTTGCATCCTGAAGGTTACCGAAAGTTCCAATCGACTCGCAGTACGACTCTCGGGGATGAGGTTTCGAGCGGGCTTCGTGTACCGTTCGTCGGGCGAAGTTACCATTCGTTTCCGTCCATCGCGCGAGCGATACACAAAAGACGGACAGCTAGTGTGCTCAACCAGACAGAGCGTCGGGAAGAGCTGCGGCACGAAAACAGCGAATCGAATCGCAGTCTCACATACTGCCCAGGAAGCTTCTACAGATCCACCGACAGGTAGCAGGCAAACTGGCCTCCCGAACAATATCAAATACGCTCAAGCGCACAGGAGGATCCCCCGGCGGGGTATTTTCTGCCATTTTTCCCGCTTCTTCGGATTACTTTCAATGAGAATCGAACACATCTCGGCTTATCTCTTCGATTGTATCTTACGGTTCATTCCCAATCTGAATAACTGAAGCATCGTCTTCCCATCGAGGAGCGAGCGGGAGGGGTGACCATGAGATCACTTAAGATATTTGTCTCTCCCGAGACGCCCATTCGTGAATTTCTAGGGAACTTGACCTTCCATTCCAGGAATACTCTTATTCTGTACCAACTGAGGATGTTCCTCGACCATGCAGGATAATAGGCATGACGTGACCCGAAATCGTCTTCACAATCTTGATGAAAGAGATGGGGAAGGGAACTTACGGACCGCTGATCTTGATGACGCAAATGATGATGACGGAGCGGGTTGTTGAGATAAAGAGTCGGAATCTATTGTTTGAAATCACTTCACTTAAAATCGAACAAAAGCCCAAGGCCAAGTGCTTTGAACGACGGCGCAGAAGTCCGGAAGGAAGACCGGAAGAATCCTGATGATAACTGATCTGAACTTCCGTGGGAATTGAGCGATCAGAGTCCTCCTGGATCGATAGGAGAGCCTTCATCTGGGGCGGATGAAGATTTTGCCTCGTGGGCGACCCACTGGGGAGTGTCGGATGCTATCTGTCAAACACCGAGACGGGCAAACGATTTACTGACTATCGCGGGTTCCTCCCTCCGTGAATGGCGCGAAACAGACTGAACTTAGCTTACCACTCTTTGCGAGACGACGAGAAACCAGTTGCAGGCGAGTTCAGATTCTCAACCCTTTGAAATCGCAAGCGACATGAACCAATAAGGATAACTAATGACTGTACGGGTCCGGGAAGCGCTCCTAATTCACTGTGCGAGCTTTAATGGCTGAGACGACCCTGACGTCTAGCCGAATCGTTCAACTGGACGATTTTGCTCCCCTCCGGCCGACGTCAGTAGTTTACTAATTTCACGTGATTTCAGCTTCTGCTCCCTAATTTCGTGTGCGGGTGGGAGATTTAGAAAGACAGACAATTCCATTCTGACAGGCGAGAAGAAAGAATTATTGTTTTTTCCTTTGCTTGGGGTGAAAAACGATTCCCGTCGCTTCTGGCGAAATTCAGCGCTTGTTCTTAAGAACTGGCTTCCGAACGCTTCCGATCGGCTGTAACTTCGATGACAATGCCGCTAGAGATCCACGCCTCAAGAAGTTCCGCTATTGCGACGAGAAAGAGAAGAATGGCGAACGGGTACGTGACAGCGGCCGGCGGAACCGGTCATCGAAGGTTGACCAGCGGAATGTTCCAGGGTTCGCCATTGTCAAGCACTCGTATTAAACGGGATGATTCCATTGTACGCTAGAATCATTATTTTTCCATAGCTCCTGAAGATAACTCGGTGGTACATGGGTCTCATCCACGCGGATTCGACTCCCACGGATTGCTGCGAATCGGCAATTCTTATTCTTAACCCGGGGGGGGGAAGAGGAATATTAGCGAGTGACAGATACCTTGCGGTCTTCGAAAACGTACCTGATGAATTTCGGGTGCTGAAGCAGACGAACATACGTCTCGGAAAAAGTTATGCCATCGAGCATATGTCATATTCGACATTATGGATGAGTGTATAAATGCATCCGCGAACTCCATCAGCAGACAGGATCGCATGGCCTCCTAGCCGCATTTCCCGAACAGAAATTAAATTCCGCTCAAGAGTGCCGCTCGCAAGATTTACACTGACTGAGGAGACTCATGGACTGGGAGCGTTTCTTGAGTTCTAGAATCCCCTGAATGGCCGTTGAGTGGTCCATTTTCTTAAAAACGACACACAGAAGCGGCGTGTTCTTCGCGAAAATTCCTCAAATCAAGTGATTTGATGATGAAGTGAATGACTCAATTGTTTTGTTTCACATCGTTTCCAGTCGAAACGTTCTCTTCCGGCCTACTGCAGTGTATCAAGACGAGCGGAAGCTGGCAATAACAATCTTGGTATTTTTCACCGCGAGTTGATTTCGTGTTTCACTTGATCTTTCATTTGCCGCTTGCGCTCGAAGATCCGTCGACACTTCAATTGCCTAGAGATGTGATTCGCTTTCAGTCGCCGCTTGACTGACTCCTACTTCATTCAGAAAGGTGGAGTCCTGGCCTAATTATTGTCCCTTCTCGCCGCGGTTGTGCACCGCGTCTCGTTTTCGTCGATGCCTTCAATAATGATGAAGTCTGGAATACGAAGTGGGAAGTGGATTCTCGATTCTCTCATAGTCCGTCTTGAAACAAGCTTCTTCATGCAGCGTTCGCGGACTCCGAAGATGCCTCTGTTGTAGTATTTTCGTCGGCGGAGATCTTCCGCCTCTGAGACCACATCAGGAAGTTATTATATTAACCCTGACTCTATAGAATACACAATTCCGATTAGAGAACAAGGACTCGGCGAGGGATCACGAAAATGATTGGGGGAGGGCGGAAATTTCGAACTCCCTGTGGCTTGGTCCATTACATGGTCCCCGTATCCCATCTCGCGTGATAAATTTCACTGGCAAGGAAGTTCACTTCGGTGCTTGATTGAATCAGAAGTGAACTAAGTTCATCGCTCGACCTCAGCGGGTCACCGAGTAGTGCCTGGGAGTAATCAGAAAAAAAAGTTGCCACTAGCTCCCTGCCTCTAAAGACAACCGCCGCGAAGCGTACGTCACTTGCTGGGCATCGGTTAAGGAGCGTACGTTTGCTTCTTCTCAGAACCTTTGCGTTGTAAGACGGCGGTAAGCGAGAGGCGAATAATTCGCAGCATTGTGACAGCCTGCGTAAATTGAGTTGCCAGTTTGAACTTCCCACGAGGATAAGAATGAGGCTCCCGCTATGCATATTCGTTAAGCAAGCTGTATCAAGCAGCCCATGGAGACATTTTCCGTGCCGTTCCCCCAATCTGACAAATGAGCGCGAGAGTGAAATACAGCCACGGATTAGGGGAGTAATATCCGGCAGCACTATCGGTCGACGTGATCTCGCCATGGAGGTCTGAGAGGATGAGGGTCGCCTCACGGTTGAAACTCTGGCAGTTCCGCCATGTACGACGCTTCGGATTCCTCCCATATCTGACGCCTTTTGAAGTCCCCCACCACATCACGGGGAGGAATTTTTCCTCCCGAATTTTTCCTCCTTCGAGATCCGAATAATTCGAGGGGGGCGAAGTCTTGTCTCGCGCCGGAATCGCCTATGACGCGCCGTGGCACCGCGAGAAATCACGCTAGATAGCCTCGTTGCGTTGCCTGTTGCTTACAATCAGGAAAGCGGTATATGTGATGCATCGGATGATTTTCACGAGGTCGCTTGCTCGGAGCGGCTGGACGCACAAACCTCCTTTTCGATCCCTCGGTCGAACGATGGGCCGGCCGACCAAGCCACCGGCCGGCCGGACGAACGCCAGCTCATTCGCTGGTGACCGAAAGCAGCGAGGCATAACGCGGCGGCATCCGGCTCGGGGCTCAAACCAAAGGACCGAGCCGTTGGCTGGCTGGCTGTCCGCTGCCTACCCGCTCGGCCGCCGGCCTGCCGACTGCTCGCGGACTGACGGAGTGACTGCTCGACTAGGTGGCTGTTGTCAACGCGTTCGGGAGACCGTCAGTGACCAGCGATGGGGGTTTTGTCGCTTGCGTTTTCGCTGCTTGCTCAACCTCAGAGGAATCGGAAGTTCAACACAGAACCCAAAAATCAATGACTGCCGAACTGCTGACTGCCTGAATGGATGACAAAGTTTTTGAATAAGTTAGATCTTGTCACGCAACGCTCCAGAATGGGGTTTTCGATGAAGAGCACTTTGTGGATGGAACGAGATACATTTGAATAAAATACGAAGACAAAAGTCACGGCCAGAACTTCGCGGTTCATTCTTCGAACGCGTGGGAAAGCTGGCGTCCTTCCCGAAAGCCGTGAGCGCTTACGGTCGATCCGCTGCTTTCCCACAGGGGAACAAGCTAGCTGGAGGGATTCTCGTGGAGCAGATCAAGAATCGAACAGCTCTCTTATCTCAAACGGGCTAGTATTCGGGTATTCGACGGTATGCGTATGTAGTCGATGGTCCGCTCGTTCCTGCAAGAGTGGAACGGCTTTCCCGGCACAACCCGAGACAGGTTTCTGAAACCCTGGGAAGTCCAAATCTCCAGGAAGTAGAAGCTCAAGTATTCCTCGGGAATGGGAACCCCGCAGCGCATGTGCGATTTCATGAATTAGAATGTGGAGAAATAGTGAGAGATCTCCAAACGCCTGCTTTCGGCGCATTCGCTGGGGGATGACCACGGGAGTGTTGGAGGTCAATCATGGTGTCTCTGCTCAATTATTGTATCAAAAATCGAGGGAAGCGCTGATATCCATGACACAATTTGACTCATTGCAGATCGATAATCAGATGCTGAGGACATGAATAATAGCACCCAAGCAGACAAATTCCATAAAGCGGCCATCGATGGCTTCTTGGAGCTTCTGAAGGAGACTACAAGGAAGGACTGCAACGCCGTGGATGAAGATGGTCTCACACCGACTTTACTCGCGGCCTACCACGGGAACCTTGATGCTCTGCGACTCCTCGTCGGCAGGGGGTAAGTATCAAGTACATCGAATGAGAGTCGAGCCCGCAACTCGGAACAGTCGGAAATGTTCGACGTGCAACGTAGAGTCTCTTTCGTTGAACCGAGGTCAATCATGGACAGCTCGAGGTTCAATGGGGGATGATCCGTCCGGTCGCATCAACTTCGCGCTTAGGTATCGGCCCAGTTTAAGGGTTCAAACTCCCCGATGGACTGCATGAAGATGAGACGGAATGATGCGGAATTAATTCGCTCTCTAAATTTTCTTTCGTGTTTAGCGGGGATCCTGACAGATGTGATTACTACGGACAGACGGCTCTTCATCTTGCTGCGGCGAAGGGTCACATGAATTGTGTGTCGTTCCTAGTCAACTTCGGTAAGTGAAAACGTCGCGTCGTTGTCATGCTCCGCTGTCTAGACGAGCGACTGACATGCTCCAGATGCCTTGTAGAACATTGTTGACAAGCGATGCTTCAAAAAGATTTGGCGAAGTGATTTTTTTGCCTACCCGTTGGTGCTCCGCTCCTCTTCCGAAGTTTCCATTCCCCACTTTTTTGTAAGGCTCTTGCGATACTTAGGCTCTCCCTTGCGGAAATTCGGAACGCCTCAGATCATGGGTCAGGAGGGCCTAATCATGGGAACCAAATCTCATCTGATTTTGACATCGCAGGTGCCAATCTATTCGCCTTGGACAATGAATTCCATACAGCCAAGGAAATCGCTCTCATAAACCACCGAGACGAAATTCTGAGGTTCCTCGATGCCGCCATCGCTAAAGAGAGCGCACTCAATACAAGAGTAGGTTCATTATTTCTGTTGTTATATATATATAGATAAATACATGAGCCTGTCTCGGAGCGATATTTGCCCCTTGTCTGTCAGAGGGAAAGACGAAGGCATAGTCGGACCGCAGATCCGAGAAGAAGGAGACTTCTTAATCCTCGCCATCACATATAGGTGGTTCAGAAAGTGAAAGAGAAGGCGATCAAAGACGCAGAGAAACGTGTCAAGAAATTCGAGAAAATGACACACAAATCAGTGAAGAAGGCCGAGAAGGACTACAAGGAAGAAGAGAAACAGCGGAAGAAACACACACTCATCGTGAGTATTATCAGACCACTATCACGGTTGCGAGCGGTCGCACATCCAGATCGAAGGACCTCCTTAACGTATTCTCTTTGAACTTCAGACCGACTCATTGACGAGCGCAAACTGTAGAGTTGTACTTCCTCCAAGTACGGGAACCCCCGTAGGACAGTCACAAAAGTTCTCTGAAATAGTTTCGACGATAAATGGGAACTCGAAGAAGGGTTTCGGAGCGGTGTCGAAGAAAATTCTTAACAAAAAACCAGGCATCGGAACCATCAACGAGACCGCGAAAATCCTAGATCCCACCAAACTTGGGAAACTCAGCATACGGTCAAAAACAGACAACGACGTAATATATGCCGCTCCTTCAAACCTCATGTACGGTCAGGAAAACCAGCGGATGCACATGAAAGACGTTTTCGAGTCGTCTTTGGGCGGCACCACCTCAGCAGGAATATCGGACGAAGCATCACCTCACCATGGCGCATCGGACTCTGGAGTTGGTAATTATCTCGTCCAATGACCCAGCTTGCGCCTACAGAACCGACTCAAGAAGTCATGGATCCCTCTACTAACAAAGTCTCTATTTTCTGCGTCAAGTTTCCAGCGACGAAATGACAATATCAGAGCCATCTTCGATCTTCGAGAGACCCGGTTTCGGATCCGTTGCCTTTCGGAACTCTTTAGCGTCCAACGTCCTAACGCTGACCGGGCCTGCGCCCCCCTCAAGGACGACGCTCAGTTCGTCGACGGACTCCAAAAGTTCGTGCGAGCATTCGTCAGAAGAGTCCGCGACGCTGAGCGGTTCCGACTCGATCGGCTCAGTGGGAAGCCTGGTGCAGAGGAATAAGAGGGTGAGTTCTTCTCCCTCGAGACTCGACATTCATTATCAAATTGCTCCCAGTCTACTACGGGAAGAGAGGTCCCGAGTTGCTGAGTCCCCCTTTATGTTTCCAGCGAGGAGACCTGTCCGATGTGCCGCTGTGCATTCAAGTTTCCTCCTGGGACGATGAACGCACATCCCTATCGTCCGTGGATGAGGACACGAACCCCGTCTACATTTTCCTATCGGTTCACCATCTGCAGGAGTACTTCCCGATATTCGAGCGGGAGAAAATCGACATCGATGCCCTGATGCTCCTCGACGAGCAAGACCTGAAAATGATCGGGCTTCCCTTAGGCCCTCGGAAAAAGCTCGCGAATGCGATTGATATAAGAAGACAGGCTCTGAACAAGCCGGCGGACAAGTTCGTGGATTCTCGGATGTGAAAATACGATTCTTAGCAGTAAATTAGGTACGATCTTACATTGCTGTGAGTTCTGTCGAAAATAATTCGTTGCCGTCTCCCCGCTGTATGTACAGAAGATCCCCGCGGCTCCCGCGAGGATGTTTGAGAATGGGAACGTGGAACACTTCGTACGTTCGCCGAGTCTTGATTGCATCGGAAAACTTGTAAATTTCAGTACCCTATCGTGCTCCTGCGGTCGCGGGGAATAAATCCTGACAGAATGATTGTTATATCGTGAGAGCTTCTTATTTTCCCGAACATCCAGAATGAGAAAAGGACCGAGACGGAAGGCCCACTGGAAACTCGAGGGCAGGCACCGGGTCGGCATCGGAGCCCCACGGCCCATCGTAGCGTTGAGAGCTCCAAAGTGGACTAAACGATGTCTAGGTAATCGTCATAATTCTACCTAGAATTCGAGCGATTCCGGAAAACCTGCGAATGTGAAACCCGGACCCACCTGTGTGCCTGGAGTTCTAGGTTTTGGCTTGAGGAACGGAGATGACTAGTCGCTGGGAGAATATGTTGAAGACAGACTTAGAAGCGATGAAGACACTCTTTCGGGGATGGTCGCGGATGACAGGATGGAGCCGAGACTCCGAGTTCTCGGGTGCGAGTATCCCATAGAGAAGGGATTTCAGAGATGGGAACTCATCGAATCAGGGGATTAACGGGTCGGGGAAGAAATCAGAAAGACCAGCGCTCTATATTGGAAGCCAAGGCAAACCGCTGAACGCAGGCATTGCTCTCGGTGCTAGGATCGAGAAGTCGGGCCCTTAAGTAAGCATGACGTTCCATCTCTCGTTAGACCCCAGCCGGGATGGGCAGAGTCGAAATAGATCTTGATGGACACTCATGTTTCAAGGGAATGCGTTTCCGCGTCTCCCTCGGACGTGATGATATTGATTCCGGCTGAACGGTTCCGAGCCAGAGATGAGAGCTCATTTTCAGGATCGAATATTCTCTCAGAGAGTCTTCAATGGAGTCTCGCTCGAGCGAACGATCTGGATCTCGCCGCCCCTTATCAACTTTCTTATCCAGTTCTTGGAGGGGGATCCAGTATTCGCGGTCGCTAATTCTGTACACTGGGGCCACACGAACTTGACTCCTGACATCAGGCGCCTCGCAAGACGCCCTCCCAATTACGCCAACGGAATTGTTTATAAGGGTATCGCTTGAATTTCGCTGATTACCTATACAAGATCATCGGGGCCGTCATATCGTTTCCCTCTGAGAGAGCGACGACCATGCGTCACCGTAGCGAGAGAGAAGTGATTAAGGAATCCGGAGCTCGATGACGAAATGATTAGGTTGAGAAACCATGTATCCCGAGCTCGGCCCCATGTCTTCATGTCGATTGATTTTCAGCAGAGCTCTCTCTCGGCATCCGTTAAGTCCTCACAAAGATCCCTGAGAGCAATATTCGATATTGGTTTCAGTTCTAATGCAGCTAGCTCGGTCGTGTGAAGATGTTACGGATCGTATGCTTGTATATCCCATTCCACGGTGAAATTTTCACTGATGACTCCTTCCTGTGACATGCGACACGTGCTGGCATCACGCGAGCTATCGATTCCGTTCTTGTGGAGCGGCACGATCGTGAGCGACTCTGAGAGGCTGAAATGTCCACTTTGAGCTCCCGGGTGCTCTTCAAATGAACGCTTCCCACAGTATCCTCGTAATTTGAAGGAAACCTACATGATGCAGTTTTTTCGCAAGATCATCCGTGAGATCTCGGTACCCTGATTTCGAAGGGGTAAGCGTATCGAATATCTGTGTTTTTTTCCCGTCGTGCTTCCGTATCGGACTTTCGGGAAAGCAGCACATATTACGCTTTGCCCAACATGAACGTATTCGCCCTTGGGACTCTTCTTTCCTAGAAGTATTCTTTTATTCTCCAGGAAGCGCTATTCGTTAACTCCCCAGATCGATCCATCGATTCATCTCGCCATCATGGACAGAAATCGATGCTCCCGCGGTAGGCATCGATCGCAGCAATGGAAACGCGAAGCCGGGACTTCATTCTTTGGAGATACCGGTTTCCTCGGAGGATGAAATCTCTGAGACGAGGCCTTTGCTGGACTTTTGGGTAAAAATAAAAGAAATAGAATGCCGATGCTGGAGTGATAACTGTATCGAGGAAGACTCTAAGATATTTCATGCAGGATACAGTGAACTCCGCGCAAGACGAATTACTCATGTGAACTGAAATCTTCGCCGTTCTCAAAGGGCTTCGTAGAGTTCCAAGGAGCTTTCGATTGTAGCACCAACAAAATCTTCCTTCACGCAGTTAACAGTGACTCGCGAATGGAGAACTCGATAGTGGGGACGCTCTGCGGTTCCCAAGGGTATTCCCGGATATCTCCCTGACATGCTCAGACCCCTGAGCACGAGGACTCACAATCAGAAACCTAGTGGGATAATTTCTTCCGAGAAACGCTCTGTTTCCGAATCTCCGTTTCGTCTCGCTTTCCAGTGTTCATTTCACGCCTATTTTCAGCTGGCGCTTCCTGTTCTGCCGTATAGCGTATCAGTCGGAGGAGCAGGTGCTCACAATCAGTGAAAGCGCGCGCGCGCTTTTTTCGACCGTACAGTGCACAACGCTTTCGGACACTCGCGGCAGAAGACCGTTGAAGTGACTTTGCTTCAGGTGTAGTCCCGAGCTCTCATCAGATGAAAGTGGTCAAAAGAGTCTTCAGGAAACTATCTCATCGTCGAGCGGAAGCCTCCAAAGGACCTGGCCGGTGGTCAACTGGAAGATCCCCTGGAGCGGCAGGATGTGACGGGAATCCGTTCCGCTCGGAAGAGAGCAAGCCGAAAGTTTTCCAGAAAGAAGAGAGAGAAGCAAACTATTTGTACTAGTCAGCAGCAATTGTGTCCGTCATGAGATCCCATCAAGTGAGTCATGCGCATACTATTCCGTGCCGAAGGATTCCGTGATGAACGAAACTACACTTGGCATCTGCTCAAGGTGAGCTCGTCTTACAGACTTTTCCCACACCATACAGGTATGTTATGATCGAAGTTAAGTGAAGGCGAATTGCAAACTGGCAAGGCTCAGAGGTTTTGCTGCGAGTCCACCTCGGCGAGGAACGTTGCCCGCGAAAGCGTGGAACGGTACGGGACCTCAGGAACAGAAGAGCGCGCCGAGTTTTCCGCTGCGGAAAAACGTCTTGACGCAGGAGAGCTAGCACAATCCAGCCAAACATTCTCGTCATCGGCTGTCGATGTCTTCAGAAGATCCGATCGCCGTGAGGGAAGCCCGCTCCGCCGCCGCGGAGTCGGAGCGTGGGTTTCGAGTTTCGACGGGTAGTAGTCCGGAAGCGAGTTCCGTCGCTCATGATAGAGCATGAACGATCCTCCAAATTCGACGGTACGAATCTGGGCGGGCATGTCTCCAGCGATCCGCACGCGATTCGAATTTGCAGAATCGGAAACAAAGAAAAATTCCAACGCATTCCCGCAATTCTGTGATGAAGCCAGATGAGTCACCGGCTGAGTTGATGATCAGGGCGAGAGAGGGTATGGATGAAAAAAAAAGGAAGTAACAGAACAAGCACACATACACGTTGGCCGTCTCCTTGATTGCCGTTCCGACAGAAGGACGCAACGGGTGACACACTCAGAAACTCTCTCTCAATTCTGGTGGCGCGGCACGGAATTCGAATGATAGTAAACCTCTCCTTTAGTTAACGTTGACAGAGCCCGGAACGAATTTCGCCGAGTGGCGCTCGCCGGTTTTGGTGGCGCGGTGATTCTCAGGCTGTCGAAACTGATCGCCATCATGAGGGTGACGGGGACCGCAATGATTTTGAGGTACGGAGTAGTTTCACTATCTTTAGCTCGAGTAGCTTTGTTGGACTTCGACATTTGACAGGCTTGCGAGGCAAGACCACCAAGCTCATACAAAATCTTGCGGGGCGTTCATTCCAAAACGACAGGAACTGCGCTCCTTGAAGTCGAAGAAATTGTCTCCGATAAAAGCGCGCGTCGAGCAGTCTGCGGCCACCATCGGGCCTTCCGTCGCTCCATCCCGCAGTCACCGTTAATCCAACCTCCGGCTGAGGGCTGATCAACAGGCCCGTTAGACAAACTCACCGGCGCAGAGGAAGTAGGACTAGAGACGGATAAACGTTTAGTCGTACAAACAGATAAACGGAACGATTGATTGACGTACTGACTGACCAACATAGGTAGACTGACTGACTGTCTGACTTACTGACCGACAAACCGACAGACGGACGGACCCGCGAGCGACCCATAGGTAGGCGTGTAGTAGTTGCTGTGCCTGCTCGAGCCGTAGCTGGTGCCGCTGCTGTGCGCGCTACGAGGAGAGTGCGGGGGGAGGGCAGACAGGCAGGCAGGCAGTCGGACAGCCATTCAGCCAACCATCCAAGCAGTCAGTCAGCCATGCGCGAACCCCAGCTCTACGCCCGTTCACGACAACACAGTTGGGCTGCCGAGAACGGACGACGGCCACTGTCTACCGCATAGCGGGCTAAGCAATAACATTCAACATTGAGCGGCGAACTTGAACAGTCTCGCCGCCCCCGTTGCTGTCGTCCGCGCGATTCACGAAACTACTTGGATCTTCACGGACAGGTTAGTCGGTGCCGAAATTCCGCAATGTCGTGCTCGGGTCGTTCAGTGAGTGCTCGATGACGTATTGGTTTCCGATCTCGGAGGATTTGCGCTCGGAAGCTTGGAATTGGTTCGGTGTTTCGTGTAGTTGAAAAGAATCTTCAGCTAAACAAGCTCGTAGAGAAATACGCAGCTCTCGTTCGGTGAATGCGTATACGTTTGTTGAGTCGTCTGTGCTCTCTCCCCCATGACGTCCTTCGTCACGGATCGAAGTTCCGAGTTCGTGGAAAGTTCCTCCGGACGTGGCAACTCCATGGTCTCGAGAAAACCCGTTTTCCCTCCTGTGAGACTTCCGTCCTCGATCGCTCACGGATCCTGGTGAGTTTGTGTCCAGCGAATCGACGTGCATTCGCCACGTAAGGACGAGTCCCGGCGGGTATCCGAAGGAT